AGAAAAAATAACCACTGGAAATAGAATGGAGAAACCAAAGATGAAGCAAAGAGGCAAATCAAAGACATAATGTCAAGACACACACTGCAGCACACAGCTAAGAAGAAACCCTCTGATCAGAGAGTAAAAAGTACAACCAAGAAGCTGGGAAGCAGTGGCCAGCCCTAACAGCGGCGCGTGGTGAAGTTCAGGAGCGGCTGTTTCACATCATCCTCCTAAGAGGACACAGAAGGGCCAGGACTCGCTCAGAAAGTCTCTCGGGCTGAAGACGCACCTCAGCCTACAGCCTGCTTGCCAACCAAGTCAAGCCCTGAGAACAACCCTAGCAAAGCAGAAGGCTTTCTTTGATGGGTCACTATGCTGGCTAATACTCTGTCAACAGAGATACAAACTGCAGTCACCCGAGAAGAGGGACCTCAACTGAGCAAACGCCTCTGCCCGATTGGTTATGGGCAAACCTGTGCTGCCTTTTCTTGACTGATAGTTGATGTGGGAGAACCCAGCTCACTTTGAATGTGGCCACCCCTAGACAGGTGGTCCCGGATGTAGAAGAAAGCAGGTTCAGTAAGCCATGGGGAGCGTGCCAGTAGCAGCATTCCTTCATGGGTTCTGCTTCTGTTTCTGCTTGAGTGAGTTCCCTCAATGATGGACGACGTGGAAATGTCAAATAAACCCTTTTCTCCCCATGTTGCTCTTGGTCAGAATTTTTTTAATCATAGCAATAGAAAGCAAACTAAGATGTGTTCTTATTTGAAAATGCAAATTAGCTTTTTATAGTAAATTAGCAACGGAATTTTTAAAAATCACAATTTTTCCTGACCTTATGTTAATGATTTTAGAAAGTTCAAACATTAGGGTAACTCTACTCCACACTATGTTTACAATGATAAAACTCCCCTCTCGCAGATATTTGGATGAAGCATCTTGACCCTAGTCCTGGGCCCCTCTTTCCAACACCTCCTATCATGAACCACAGTTAAACATTCAAATGTAGACAGAACCAAGCGGCTTCAAGTCAGCTTTAATCTGGGTGTCCTGTAGGCTGTCCTAGTGTCCACCTTACCTAAGAGTTCAGTAGGACAGAATGCAAAGCTCCCGGGAAAGCAGGGAAAACTGGGGATCGGAAATAGCACTTGGCAACTGCAGAAACTTAGCTGGGGCAGAGCTGTACCCTACATGTAGGTGTCTTCTTACTGTTAAAGGCTTTTTTTCTGGTTTTGTCCCTCATACAAGCCTTGAACTAGTCATCCCCCACCTCCAACTTTAAAGACTTGATTATCAATAATACAAATTTAGATCATGTTTCTTGAGTTTCTATTAGATAAGAGGCATGAAAAAAAAAGAGATTTACATATATCCTCTGGGTTAATTCTCCAAAGATTGGTGATGATTCAAATAACCCAATAAACAAAAGAATTCTAACACACATATTAATGCATTCAGTCTTACTTAAAATTAAAACATCATTTGCAGCTCCTAGACCACTAGCACCACCAGTAAGCCTGAGGACAGGGGAGCTTCAGAATTCTCAGCAAAAAATACAGGCTGGTACTTCCACAAACTCAACTTTCTATTATCTGTCAAAATTACACATTCATATGTCTTGGCATGTAACCTACAAAAATCCCGGCACATGTCTACAAGATGGCACATAAACAGCATTACACCTTGGGGTGCATCTGTAAAGGGGTTGGCTAAGTAAATAAAGGTTCATTTGTACAATCAAGCACCATGCAATCATAAAGAATAAAATGATCCAATTTGGCTAGCAAATACCATCAGCATGAGATGGAGCCCAAAGGATGAAATGAATGGCCCTATAAGGCACTCAAGAGACTGTAACAACATGATGAATTGGGGGAAGACTCCGAGAAAGAGCAAACAACAGAACCAGAAAGGAAATTCTAAGGACAACCCATAGACATCCCTAAGGGGGATACTTGTTTCCTGACAGGAATAACAAGAGAGACTGAGTCTGCAAAGCAAGGCCATTTCCTCTGGGGTGAACTATTCAATGACTTCTACATCTCAGTTTGGGGTCTTGAATTTACAGAACAGGCTGCACTCACTATCCATTTGACCTGCTTATAAGATGTGTGTCGGGGGGAGGGGTGTCTTTATCTACCTCCAAACTATCGAGTGGCTACACTCCTGTACAAGAAGCCAGGAGTTACTCATTATTAAGATGCTAATATCTACAACCAAGACGGCACCAACAGCATCATCCCTTCAGATCCGAGCAGCAAAAGTCACAAACTGGAATTTCCTCCTCTAGGACACAAAGTCAGGCTCTTTCTGGGGCATCTCCCAAGTCTTCCCCTCTAGTCTTCTAGCAAACATGCAGCTGAGATGAGAGGTTCAATTTATCCTCCTTGCAACACCCCACCTTATCAGTGCTCTCTGAAAGCATCCTTCCTTGGCCTGAGGTCCATCTGGGAAACAGGGAATCCTGGATTCTACTTAGACATGTAACACACTCCTGTCCTAGTTCAGGCTACCACATCTACTCACCTCTCCTACTACTTCTAACTGCAAGCCTTCAAGAATCATGGCTCATTTTGTGCAGTGTGTGCATGTATATACCCTCGCATGCACATGCATGCAAGTGTGTATGCATATGTGTATGTGTGAGCATGTGCAGGTCAGAGGTCAACACCAGGTGTCTTCTTCAATCACTTTCCCCCTCATTTTTGGAACACAGTCTCTCACCAAACCTGGAATGGTCAGTTCTGCTAGGCTGGGTGACCAGTGAACACGAGAGATCTGGTTACCTCTGCTTCTCCAACCCTGGGACTATAGGCAATTGCCAATACGATCCTCTTTTGATGTCGGTACTGGGGTCCTCACTCTTGTGTAGCAGATACTTTACCAGCTGAACCACCTCCCCAGCTCTGAAGCTTGCTTTTATTATAAATGTGACAAGCGTGGTTTACACCCGGATGGGCGCCCTCTGAACTCTCACCAGCCCTAACTGCATGGTAAAGACTCCCCTGTGTACTTCCCCAACCAGACAGAGCTATCTGCACAGTGTTAAGTAGAATCTGTAGATAAAGGAATCAGCTGAACTTAACTCACTTTTAAGCTCTTTTAAAACAGATTGTTTTTCTCTGCTTTCTTTCCCCACCTAAGTCCCTCTAATTCACACTCAACAGCATTAGGCTAGTTTGTATAAAACCTTCAGGTCAATGGACCTAAAATCATCTTGCCTACACCCACAAACACGACTGTGTTCCCCACCTCCATCTTACTGCAGTAACCCCAATGCACCAAGATGCTCGGCCGTATCTAAGTTGGTCAAGTTCATGAGAAAGAAGAAAAGAGAAAAGGTGAGGTAAATAGTCTAATCTGTTGATCTTGTTCAGACTCAGTGCAAAATTCACAGAAACTTAACTAGTTCAGGAGAAGAAGAGGCAAGGTATACAATCTCTACAAAGAACAAACACAACACTGTGCGGCAGTGCCCACAAAGCCCAGAGAACGCAGACCCTGCTTCTACTGCATGGGGCTGAACTTCAAGCCCCTCATAAAGGCAGTAGCTTGTGAGGTAAAACTATCTTAAAGAAAAAATTGCACACTGAACAAATTGCATACATGTCCTGGTGGTTCTCACTAACGTTTCTGTGTGTTTCTTACTGAAACAACAAATGGGCTCTAGACAGAGATTTTATATTGCTGTCAGGCTAATGCAAGGCTTGGAACGCTTCATGATGCAAACTGTTGTTTACGGCAGACATCCCTTCTGATTTGTCTCACCTGGAGAAGCTGCATCTCATTCCGCAGTAATTCCCTCATCCCAGCTGAGGCCGTGGACAGAGCAACACCTCAGCTGAAACCAGCTCTGAAGGAGCCTTGATGAGCACGCACAATGCACAAGACCCCAATCAAACTGCCAGCAAAGCTCTGCCACTCTGAGTAAACAAAGTCATCTCAGTAAGGTCACACGATTCACGAGGATTGCAGCCAAAAAATTAATTACTAGCACGACATATGTCAAAACAAGTTTCTGAGAGGAGGGAACACAGTTGTGAGCATGTGTTTTATCTCTTTGTATGCAAAACTAGCACTCTCTGGAATGGAAATATATTCATTTATTCAGCCCTTTTCAGAAAAATTAAAAAAAAATGTTGATTACTCTTTCCTCCACTCTTTCCTGCACGCAGGTGTAAGAGAAGCAAAGAATACAGGTATCGTGAGTCAGAAAGGAAGGGCAGAAGGAGACTCATTCATGTGAGCTTTCTCAGACAATAGCAACAAATGCGGAACACTACGAACGATGAACATTCTGTTTGCCAAAAAGGGAGCTGTCAGGCTCCACAACAAGGCACAGTGCAGGTCGCTACCTCCTGAAAACCAAAGGCCTAGGCCACACTACACACAGCCTGTAAGCCACAGGGAGTTTTCAAAAGATGATCAATATTCTCCTAACTCCCACATTATTTACATTAGAAATACTTTTGCAAGTTAAAATGTTTCAGTCGCAGGACTCCAAGAAGAGGAGGAAACATCAGCCAGTTCTTCCCTCTGTCATGGAAAACTGTGTCCCATACTAAAACCGTTTCTCACACCTCACTGTGTAAAAATTCAGTCTCCCTGCTGGAAGGCAAAGACTAAAGCATGTTGTCTACAGTATCTAGTGACGTCATTACTGAGGGCCAAGTACAGCATGTCAGTTAGAAGGCCCAAGATGAAAGCGCTGGACTTCTCTCCGCTACATTTCACACGGGGGAACCAAAAGCTACCTCCCTGTGGTGGGCTTCTTACATAGCCGATCTTGCCGTGTTAGTCCTTACTATTTCAGCTAGCAGACCCTCAGCCAGAATGATAAGAGACACCAGCTGCCCGGCAAACCATCACGAGTGTTCTTCTACATGGAAGAACCAAGGTGCAGCTAAGCAGTTCCTGAGTGACGGCCTTCTCCTCCTGACTCTAAAGAAGCATAGGGTCACCAATCAAAGCCCACCCCTGCTTTGGGACTTCAGGAGTAGTAGTAACTGGGTTACCTCTCTCAGAACTGTGCTTTTATAGCCTCGGTACAGTCCTTGGATCCCCTGAAACAAACAAAAGCCAAGTGATCAGAAAATTGAAGAACATTCTAGAAAGAGACCTGCCTGCTCCAAAATTTGAGTTCTAAGACATTGCTTAGCCATAGTTTTCTAAAGTTAAACATAATAAACTGGTTTAAAGCACACAAGCCTGCAGTTAGCTCCCCTGAAGTTGACATCTCTAATAATGAAATAATATATATGTATTAAGTAACAGTGTTTATCTTTTGGAAACATTTACATTGTATACATTTCCAAAAATCAGTCCATCATTTTTTAATGTAAGATGAGGACTTATTTCAGAAATTGGTCAATAATCTCTCAAAAAGTATGTATTAAAGATAAGCCTAGTGTTATGTGCTTAAGTACACACATAGTCCAGTGAGCAGTCCATAGGACTGACCTCATTCCTACAGATGGTAACAGACCAGAAAGATGAGGGATTTGGTGGCATACACCTGTCATTCCAGCACTCAGGAGGATGAGGAAGAAGACTGAATACCAGCCAGTGTCACACAGGAAGTCCCCATCTCCAAAACAAAGATAAAGAATAACTTTTTCTTTAAACCTAAACTAAGATTGGCTCACATAATTTAAGGAAAGCAGAAAAAAAAAAAGAGAGAGAGAGACACACATGATGGCAGAAGCCACAGCCACAGCCCAGGCAGCAACAATGAATAACCCCAGGAGTTCAAGGCCAACCTGAGCAACACAGCAAGACTTTTACTCATATATCAAAGCAAACTAGAACAACAGAGGCTTCCGCTAAACTGATTAAGGACAACAGAAACATGCCTAGTGTCAGACATGTGCCCAGGGAGGGTAGCTCTGACCACTGCCAACACTGATCAGAAAGAGAAAGAACATTTACTTAAGAACATTACTTTAAGGGTCTCATGATGCAGCCCTGATTGGCCTGGAACCCACTGTGTAAGCCAGGCTGGCTTCAAAACTTAGGAAGCTCACCTGCCTCAGCCTCCAGAGTGCTTGGATTAAAGGCATGTGCCCCCATGCCAGAGGAGAAATGACAATTTCACGTAACATTATGATGCTGGCAATGATTACCAGCCCACTATTGTATCTTATATTAAATACTTCTTCTCTCCCATGGGCCCTCTAATTCTGTAGCAATGTTCTGGTGGAGTATCTTAGTTCCTTCACATGATTAATGTGTCTGATTCTGACAACTGAGGCAGATTACATTCAGAGCATATGCAGCAGTGGTACTTGCAGCACAAATAATAACCCAGAGACAGATACTGGGGCTCAAGCTGAAGATGAGAGCAGCAAAGCAGCCAAGAGAGCTCTCACCTCTATGAAATAATCTTCAGACTGAAAGACAGCAAGTCCCTGTCTCATCCTGCCTTATATTCCTCTCTAGTGCTGGGATTAAAGGTATGCACCACCACTGCTCGTCCTCTGTGGCTAACTAGTGTGGCTGCTTGGATTAAAGGTGTGTGCCACCACTGCCTGGCCTGTACGGCTGACTACTGTAGCTGGTTTGCGTTCTGGTCTTCAGGCAAGCTTTATTCATTAAAATACAAATGAAATATCACTACAAGTACTCAATACATGACTGTTTCAAAATTTAAAAAAAGTGAAAATAAAAATTCAAAAAGAAAGGAAAAGACAATCTCAGCAAAAAAAAAAGTTATTGTGGTTAGACATTAAGGCCATCCTAAAGTTTCTCAAGGCCCCTGCAACGAGGTCACGGTGTTCTCACTAAAATCGCCCTCATCAGAGAAAGAGGGGGTCTAAAAGCAGCCTTACCTCTTCATTTAATATAGCAGAAAAGATCTGCAAGGTTGTTGAAGAAGCGGACACCTGCGCCCTCTGTTTAACCACTTCAGAAGGAACTCGAATCAAGCAGGCAACCTAAAACATACAGATTTAATTATATCTGAAAAGGATGTTGCTGTTGCAAAAACTGACATCTTTTTATATGCAAAACTAATAATGCAAATATCATCTTAAGGTTTAATGTGAGGTGTCAAAAAGACTTTTATTAACCTAAAATTCTTGAACCTTCAAGGACACACAGAGTCATCAGTGGCAAAACCCTCCTCTGAATGAGATCTACTCACCTTGGACACCAAGCTCCACACATATATACACACCACTCAGTGGCAGGAAGAAAATTCAATTCTCATGGATCCCCACCTCAGAACAGTATGTCACACTTAAGCAACTTTTCAAGCCTGTTTCACCAAGGAATATATTCCTTTGCTTGACTAGAAGTAACACACCAGGAGAGGCGAGACTGTCTGTAAGCTGGCAGCCCTGTCCTTCCCACCTCACACCAGTCTCCACCAACTCTCAAGCCAGCCTGGCACCTAGGCCTTCCCACCACACAACTGAGGACCAGCACCAGCATTCCAGCAGACACTGGTCCCAACTAGGCACTCACACCTAGCTAAGTCAACAAGCAATTCGGTGAAGAGAAGAGGATTCCACACTATAAAGGCTGGTGGCCTACTTTCAGAAACAGAGACTAAAGTGGAAACCAGAAAGTAGGAGAGGGGATGGATAGTCAGTCACGGGGGAGATAAAAGGATCGTTAAACAGTTTCTGTGTTGAAGCCCCGACACAGCAGTATCCCAGAGAGATAATGCTTTCTGCAGCTTGGGTTGATGCCCAGTGTTTTACACATGCTTGAGGACACTGAATTCCAGCTTTTAGAATATGAATATATACTTATACGTAAGAGATGGCAAGAAATGCAGATAATCTTTCTTCAGTGACACATGTAGCTACACTAGGTGGAACAGATGTATAATGTTGGCCTTCTGGGATGCTGGGAGAGGAGAAGCCAAAGTTCAAGGCCTCCCTGGACAACTTAGCAAGATCGTTATCAAAAACTAAAGTATGAGGGCTGAGGACACGGGCAGGTGCACAGACATTATCTAGCACATATGGAGCCCTGGGTTCAGTCCCTAGTACCACAAGATAAATTACGTTGCAAATAGAACTGCTCTCATTATGCGGCCCAGGCTGGTCTTTAACCCAGAGTCCTCTTACCTCAGCCTCTGAAATGTTAGGATTACAGGCACACATGTACTAATAGGGCTGGCCAAAACTTATTTTTTTTTCATTTAAAATATAGTATTTTTATTAATTCTTTAAGAATTTCATGTATGTACACATTATATCTTTGAGAATTTCATACATGTATACAATGAAATATGATTATCTATCCCAACATCATCCCCTCCCAAGCTTGTGTCCTGTCCTCTTTTATTTTTTAAATAACCCAGAAGTCTAGTTAGTGCTGCCTATATGTGTATAAGTATATAGCTATATCCACTGAATAATTGGACCTAATCAGAGGCCATACTCCTGAAACAATTGACTCTCCTGCCCTCCCTCCCTCCCTCGGCAGCCATCCACTCTCTGAAGCGCAGGGGCTGGTGAGTCAGCTCCACTCCAGGCTGGAATGCTGACCTTGTGTAGGTCTTGGGAAGGCAGCCACAGATTCTGTAAGCTTTGTCTAAAAGATACTGTTTGCCCCTTGCCTTCTTGATCTCTGCCTCTTTTTTTTTATTTATTTATTATGTATACAATATTCTGTCTGTGTGTATGTCTGCAGGCCATAAGAGGGCACCAGACCTCATTAGAGATGGCTGTGAGCCACCATGTGGTTGCTGGGAATTGAACTCAGGACCTTTGGAAGAGCAGGCAATGCTCTTAACCACTGAGCCACCTCTCCAGCCCCTTGATCTCTGCCTCTTAAAATCTTCCTGCCCCCTCCGGCATGACATTTTCTGAGCCCTGGGAGGGGATGTGGTAGAGATGTCCCACATATAGTGAGCATGCCACAGCATTTTGACCAGCTGGGAGTTTCTTTGTTAACTGCTTCTCTGAACAGTTATCTTTGATACTATGCTACACTAATAATGTGGTCTCACGCAGAAAAGAAGGGTTGATCTCCAGCACCTCTCGCCTACCAACACACTTGAGGAGAAAACACACTCCTCTTCTGGGGGAGGACCTCCCCTTGCACTGTTAGCTCCAACAGTGTGATGTGGCCACCTCCTTTGTTAGTGAGGCTCAGGACACAGATGTCTAGCAAAAGACAAGACCATTACATCCAACTGAGTGTGTATTCTGTTACCAAGGTAACAGCAAGACAGAAGATAACAACCAGGGGAAAAGTGGTACCATATATGAAGACATAGAGGCTATGGAAGAGTGGTCAGGAGCCCTGGCCAGTTCCAACCATCATGGGACCATCCCTGAACCAAATGACATGAGCAGAGGGGCTTCAGACAGCTACTGGGATACTCCAAGCAACCTCTAACACATTCCCCTGACCTCCCTCAGCTCACTCTGTTCCTAACTGCTGCACTTTTATCTCCTGACTAATGAGTAAACATACATATTTATACAATTGTATGTATACCCGTGTGACTTTCCTTAACCGAACTGAAGCAGAAGTTTTATGGTACCCATTAGATTCTACTGTTTATGTATTGTGTGTGGTATGGCAAGTATGTAGCGTGCGTGCACATAAGAGCAAGCACATGTCACTATGGGGGCCCATGCAGAGGCCAGAGGACAGTGGGATCTTCTCTACTCTTTCACCTGGTTTCTCTCGTAAACTTTTCTCACTGAACCTGAAGTCCACTGACCGAGTCAGGCATCCAGACAGGAATGCTCCCGTCTCAACCAGCCACCAACATTAGAGTGATTGGCACTTACAGCAGTATATGGCTTTTGCGTGGGTATTAGGGATTTGAACACAGGTCCTCTAGCTTTCACAAGAATTATTCTTGGCCACTAAGCAATCCCTCCAGGCCTCTTCTATAATTTTTCTTTAGTTCCCATTAATATACCTCCTCTATCACAAAAAGCTCCTTCATTATTCTTACTTCCTAAATAAAACTATGACATTTTGCTCTTACTCCGTGTGTGTGTGTGAGTTGTGTGTACAGCTACACATGCACTTGTGTGTAGCAGGCTTTCCTGGACTGCCAGCCTACAAATCAAGACATGGAGACTTATGAATGCTCATAACTTAATTTACCTTGTTTCTCTTTATCTATGTTTTGCCTCTGGGCTTTTTACCTTTCTTTCATTTTGTAGGTCCTATTCCGTGGCCGGCCCAGGGTGTCGCCCTCTTTTTCTCCCTCCTCCTCTCTTTTCATTCTCTAGGGCCTAGATACCGCCTCTTACTTACTCTCTGCCCTCCAGCCCTGTTATCCCTCTACTGCCTAGCTATTGGCCATTCAGATTTTTATTAAACCAATCAGGTGCCTTAGGCAGGCAAAGCAACCCATATTTACATCATTAAACAAACGCAGCATAAACAAATGTATCACATCCTTACATGGCTAAAGTAATGCTCACAACACCTGGTACCTTCATCAAATGCTTACCACCTTTATATTTTGAGACAGGGTCTCTCATGGAACCTGAAGCTTGCCAGTTCAGGTAGGCTGGCTAGCTGGCTGGTGAGTGCCAGGAATCTTCCCATCACTGTCTCCCAATAACAGGGTTATAGGCACATGTAGCTTATGTCTGGCTGCTCCATGGGTGCTAGGATTTGAACTCATATCATGTTGCAGTCACAGCAAGCACTCTTACCCACTAAGCCACCTCCCCAGTCCTACACTATAATTTTTTTAAAAAATTTCTACTGAGTCATAAGCGCCTTGAGATTGAGAAAAATATATATCAACCTCACTAACCAACAGAAGAAAAAGAAAACTCTATTATAGATAACATTTTTGTATTGTTATATGTAGAAACAAAATTAAACCACCAAAAAGGAAAAAAAAAAAACACCAAAAAGTTATACATTTCCACACAAATACCTTTACTGATATTCCCTTATTTTTCAATTATCTTCATATGAAATACCCATACATATTTTGATTAAAAGACTAGAAAAAATACAGTAGGATTACAGGTATTTTTTTCTGCTTATCCATATTATCTAACTTCTTTGCAATCACCATGTATAAGTTCCATGGACCAAAGACTTTATGTGAGGAGAAATAAAATGAAGGAGCCAAATTAAAATAACCTTGTCGATGCAAGACTAATACGACTTTGACAACAATGTCTGTTTTTAAGTTGGCAATGGTCTAAAACAGAGCGGAGCAGACAGCGTCCCAGAGGCTCGGAATTACATACAAATCACTTCTCTGGGTAAGAGCGTGAGCTCTCAGAAACCCACTGAAAACCAAGATGCGAAATGAAGTCCACTGACACCAATAGAAGCCTAAAGGCAAGCTCCCAACATCTACAGCTCACCAAAGAATGAAAGCACATAAATAAATGAAAGAGGAAAGAAAGAAAAGGGCACACTAATGCCTTGAGCTTTCCAATTCAGGAGGTCAACAATGAAATATGACCCCAATATGGCAAGAAAATAGGAGCTGTCCGCTTCTGAGGTTCAGCATAAATATTTATGGAACTTCATGCTTCATAACCCTTCATGTTCTTAGATTACATTTTCATTTCTTAAAAACACAGAAACAGAAGAAAAACTTGGAAAAGGTTCTCAGATGGAAAACAGTCTCAGCCTTTGCCTGGTACAAAGGCCCCAGCATGGAGTCTGACTTCTGTGGTGTGGCAGTTCAGACCCAAGTCAGTCTCTCTCCTCCTGCTCTCTTCCGCTTGGTTTTCTGGATTTTCTCCAGTGTGAATGTGGAAAAACAGCAGAGCACTGCACAGGAACAAAGCATGCCTGAGTGCTGCAGCTCTGTGACAGGAAATGCAAGTAACCCTGCCCCCAGGTCTCCTTGAACTGCTCTGGGGCACACATGCGGGATGGAGCCAGGACACAGGGATGGTGGCATCTTCATCAGACCTGAGAACACATGGCTTTACATACAGAGAACAAATGGAACTGAGTGTGATGGTTCACACCT